TACGGACACCGTGTCCCTCATCCCGCCCGGCCTGTCCGTGACACTGGGCCGATCGCTTATCTCTACCTGCGTCTCACGGTCTGTCCGTGCCGTGCTGTGAGCCGGCCAGCCAGGAAACACCTGCACAATTGACCCCCCAGGATTGACCAGTGACAGATCAAAGGATGCATCATTCTGCCGCTCAGTGATGGAGGTGGACAGGCTGCTTTAAGGCCCTTGTCGTTCCTGCTCCTCCATCACGCCAAGCACGAAAAAAACCCCAACGTTAGAATAAAATAATAAAAAAAAAAAACAATTTTGAAAGCTAATCAATACGAGCTGGTCTGTAATAAGTGAAACTTATTATGTTTAAAGTTAATATCATCCATCTATCTTCCATAACTGCCTCTGGAGTAGAGCGCTGTGGAGAGCCAGGAGGGCAGCAGCCAGGGAATGACCTGCATGGGATGACAGCCATCAGAGAGCAAACAGAGGCACTACGAATCATACACTGCAGGCCATTTAAAGGGCACAAATTCATCCGGACTGCATGTCAGCTACACATAATCTCGTCTAAAAAATTCACTATTGAAATAGAACGTTTTTCCTCACAGCACTGGTGTCAAACAGGTCCCCACATCCCAAAGGGCCTCCTGCCTTGTGACGGGACCAGTGAAGTGTGGCGGATACGGTTTATTCCGCGGCATTACATGTGATTATTTAAGCTCCCCGGCGCACACTGAAAACCGGATGGGCCGGCCAGACGAGCGATGATGGAGCGCCGAGTGCAGACTCTCTGCCCGTCACCCTGGATTGGCTGATTACGGCGACATCCTGCCGGAGACTGGAGGCAGGTGTTTGGAGCGTCGGGCAAGTCGTTTCATTATGGTCTGCGCAAAATTAGCTCCCAGGACCAATTTCTCCACGATGCAAAAATATAATTAGTGAGTCTGAAGACCGACTTCAAGAGGCAGGAAGAATTACTGTTAAAAACAGGCTGTAAGAATAAGGAAGCAGGCTCTTCACAAGCAGAGTAAAGCGCATGTAAACCCAACCAAGCTGCTGTCTCTCACGGAGCCCCTAGAAAACCCTGCTGGGGGCCGTGAGAGTGTTAGACACAAACAACGAAACAAACAATACAGCTAACCGTCGACTACTACCTTACAGTGCTGTTTAATGTTGTATATACAGATTCCTGCAGAATTCAACCATAGTACTTGCTTTTACAATCAAAGTAATTCAAGATTGTGTGGACATGTGGAAATATTCCCATCCACCAATTCATCCATCCAATAATGATCCAAACACTCATCCATTACAGTGTCATGGAGAGCACAAAGTCAATTCCAGGCCACAACATGTGTATGTGTGTGTGTGTGTGTGTGTGTGGGTGTGTGTGTGTGTGTGTGTGTGTGTGTGTGT